ATGGGGTCAGATGGTGTGAAGTCTAATGGGGTCAGATGGTGTGATGGGGTCAGATGGTGTGATGGGGTCAGATGGTGTGAAGTCTAATGGGTCAGATGTTGTGAATGGTGTGATGGGTTCAGGTGGTGAGAATGTTGTGATGGGGTCATATATTGTGATTGTGATGGTGTTGGATGTTATGAAGTATGATGGGGTCAGATGGTGTGATGTATGATGGGGTAGCGTGTGGTTTCTGATGTCTTGTGTTTTCTGAACGTGTTATTTTCTAGACACTGGTGATATTTTGTTGCTTAATGATGGTTGGTGTAAAATAAACGGTGGCTCCTGGCGAATGAGCTAGTTAAACTTGATTGTTTACAAATTGGTGCAACTTCAAAACTTGATAGTAAGTGCCCCTTACTATCTTACTACAGTAAAATAGCGAATATTTCAAATCCGCGAGGTATGTGCTGCAAGTCACATAAACTATGGTCAAAGGGAAACAACCATGAAAATATTTCGATTATTAAAAATTATTATTCACTTGTCGACTGCCCGCTAAAAAAATGGAAATACGAAAGAGAGGTAAACGTAGTCTTGGTAAGCACATCATACGCGGGTAATTTACCAGGTACCAGTCAGGCAAATGTTTAGAAACCTAAAAAAATAAACCGGGAGTGATCTCCCCTAAACTTTCTCGAATATTCTTATATAAAATAACAGGGGATGGGAACTCGGGCTATAGACATGATTTTTAATCCATTTTAAATACTTAAAGTTTTAAAAATAGAATAAAATCTCGTAGACAAATTAATTGCACACCAAGTGAACGCGAAATAAAAAAGCGCATAATAGTGCGCAATATTATTATTACTTTAAAAATTTACATTAGTTTTTTGAGAAATCGGAAGTAGCGTAAATTACTACTTCCGGTCAACGGAAATTACTCAAAATTTAACAGAAGGTAGAGAATTAGATCTTTTACTTACATGTGAAATTTAATTTATCTATCTGAAATAGTACTCAAGTTATAGGCTTTTGAAAAATTCAAAGTAGAAAAAGTACCACTTCCGGTTGTCAGAAATCGCTCAAAAGTTGATACGGATCTACGATTTTGATAAAATACTTATATATGAAATTTCATCAACCTAGCTGTAACGGTACTCAAGTTATCGTGTTTACACACGGACACACACACACACAGACACACACACAGACACACAGACATACGGACAAGATTGCAAAATTATGTTTTTCCGTATCAGTGAGATGCAAAACGTCGAGATTTGCAAAAATCTCGATTTTTTTTTTTTGCACGATTACAAGACTTTCTCTATACTTCGTATATACGAGAAAGTAAAAACATAAAGGAATTTTGAAGGATCAATAATAAGATTGTTTTTAAAATAACGGAAAGCCAGGGTTAAATTCTAAAATATCTTGTATTACGATGCTAAAATAGACGACGATATGATAAAGAATGTGGCAATTGATCAAACGTTGTGCGGGTCTATTGGTGAACATGGCTTTAGGAAGTGTGTCACTTCTTGAAACGAGTCTTATTCCATTTACAGTCTGTTTTAAATATTTATTTGAATGAATTCCCAAAAAAAGGCACTTATGCTGAAAATCCCCAGCCCTACATCGTCCGCGCCCCCTTTTCCGAAACTACTGCAAACCTTTTAACAATCTCAATTTAAATGCTCACATGCTTACAATTTATTTCTATCATGATAGTCATAAATCCGTCTTTATTAGGCCTATACCATTAAATTGTTTATTTCAAAATGTTCACATCCCAGAAGCCAGACCCAGATTTGATACAATAAATTATTGTATTTTGGAATGTATTTAATTAAAGGGAAAGAAAACAGAAATTGTTTGTTTACACATTATTAGAATAGCCTCCCCTGTGAAAGATAACATTTCTTATCTCCTATATCCGGCTTAGGTTAATGTTTACAACTGGGTTTTTTTCTCTGGTTCGGACAGTGCTACGTTGGCACATGGAACAATCAGCTGATAATTCAAATACTGCTTGTTGTGATTAACGTTACAGCTTTCAAAAGCAAAATTTATTTTTAACACATTTAATTTGTAAACTAGATCTAGGTAACAAAAAATATTACGATTCTTAGATAATAAAGATATAAAATATAAATTAATTACATTTAGCCTGCCTAAATGACATGTAATTAATAAATCATGATTTAGGCCTAGATCTAGATCTAATCTAGTCTAGGTAAAATCACGATATAGCGTCGGAAATTATTGGGTAATGTTCGTTGAGTTTCGGTAACATTCGTTACTGTAAACCATAGTTTATTTGACCGTTGAAAGAAAAATAAAGTCAAGTGCATTAAATTAATGTTTTAACTTAATTTAATGTTTAACTGACAAAAAATTAGCAACAATTAGTAAATCTAAATATTATTAATAAAGTCGAGTGTAGTAGCCTAATTAATGTTTTTTTTTTTAAGAAACAAAAAATCTGCAGAAGATTTGCGACAACCAGCTCTAGACTCTAGTTCTGTTAGTAAATAAGACGATTAGATTTATTAAAGTTAAAAGTAGTAAGAATAACTAGAATAATGTTTAGTAGCAGCAATAATTAGCACATACACTTAAAATAATTAGAAATACAAAATAATTAGCAAAACAGTATTTAAAATGCAACTAAAATCAATCCACGCACATTTTACAACATTATGTATTAAAAATAATATGGCGGCAAATAAATGATGGTTTACAGTATTTCCGGTGGTTTCCGGAACGGCTCGACAGACTACGCCATAGTTTTACTGTTTTTTACTGCTGTACAGTTCCGGAATAATAACCGACGCTATATCGTGATTTTACCCTAATCTAGATCTAGATTAGATCTAGATCTAGTTAGTAGTTAGTAAGTTAGTAGTTAGATCTAGTAGTTAGTTACTAACTCTAGTAATTTAGTTAGTAGTAGGCCTAGGCCTAATAATTAGTAATAATAATAGGCCTAGGCCTTAAATAATAAATATAACTAGATCAGTAAGATCTAGGTAGACTCCTCTATATTTTTTTTGGTAGAACCTGGCTAGATTTTTATCTAGATTCTAGATTGAGATTTTATTTTTTATTATTTTAATAGGGCCTAGGCCTAACTAATAGTTTTAAAATTATTTTTTTAATTTTCCTTTAAGAATCTAGATCTAGATGATCTAGGCCTAATAATAATCTAATATTCTAAAAATTAGATTCTAGATCTAGAAAAGAATTATTTTTAAATTCAAATTTATACCTATTATCAATTAACGCAACAAAATGTGTTTTGAAATCCTGGTAAAAAAAATTTGACAATGATTCCTGGAATATTAATTAAGACAAGCGAACTAGGGGAAATTATCACTCTCTTAATTTAGAAATGTAGCCTATATCATAGTATAATAAAGTATATTAGTAAGGCTAGGCCTATATGTCTACACATTTAATTCAAATTTAATTGTAAAAACTATCAAAACAGAACAATAATTTCTTTAGTATGTAGGCCTAATATTCGTTTTTACAAAAACATGTTGTCTACAATCAGAATTAAATATTTTGTCATCAGAAATGCTAAAATATTACAGCATAATGATAGTTTTTTAAATCCAATAGTAAAACTAAATTTGAAAGGTGGCATATTCTGAATAATAACCTACCTAACATATAACTAAAATATTGGTCTTGCAGTTTAGATCATACATTTTTTAATTAGCGACTGCTTTTTATGTTCTTTAAAGATCATTTTTTAACATAATGATAAGGTATGAGTTGTACCTGTTTCTTCTTCGTTTAGTATTGGAAGGGATCCCGTCCAGCACAATTAAGTAAACGTGTCAACTGGTTATGCGCCATTGAGGCCATTTACTCCGATTTCAGCCTGCTTTTCTTTTTGGATTTGCTCCCATAGCCTTTGTCCAACCAAGAACAAACTACAATGTAGCAGTTGTTTGATTTTGGAATTGTCTCTCCTAGAAGTAGAAGAGTGGCTGTCCACAGCTAAAGAGCCTCATCTGCCTGAAGGTTCGACCTTGAGACTGTTTCAGTTTAGCAACAATGAGCTTTACCGACTCGACCATGCCGACCCCTTGATATTAGCAATAATGTTAAGATTTTTTAATATTTAAAATAACATAAACTATGTCTAGAAATTTTTTTTAAAAGAACAACGTACAACACTCAAGATATAGATCTATCTACTTGTTTAGTTTATAACTTTCTTCTCGCACATCTGGTGAAAAAACAAACCAGTAAAAGCATGAAACAAATGTCTCGCTAATAAAGCCACTATTTAACTGTAATTCTGCAGATATGTGTCACAATTTACCAACACCCTAGAATCTAGATCTAATAGGCCTTTAGATTTAGGCCCTCTTCTAGCACTAAAATCCAGTAGAAAATCTACAAGATATAAATTCTCTCTATGTTTGGCAGCTAACATTACAAATGGTGACAAAGGAACATGGACGATTCCAGCTTAGATGGTCCTAGGCTACGTACTGGACGCAGGAAGAAATCCAGCATGGTGCCTAGAGTGACCCCGTACCCCGAGGATGACAGGCTGCAATCAGGCCTTGTCAGCAGACCGGAACTGCTAGAATTAAAGACCATGGGCGCCACCAACTCGGTAAAGACCATGGCCGCCACTAGCTCTGCTAATAGCAACATGAATGTCAACTTAAACCAGACAAATGGTAATATATCACAGACAAAGACAACAAATATAGACAGGCCTGAGGAGCTGGAAGGGGAGTCCAGTGGAGGGGAGGACGCCTGCCAAAGTCTGCTGGGCAGAAATGCCTCTCATGATGAAGTTAACGACGACAGTATTCCCATTGTTGTAGTGGATGAGGTGAGTGGATATTTTTGTACAATGATTCAACTGGGCAGTTTTTTTTATTCTAGTGGTACAGATGATTCTGTTGTCTGACTATTGGTACAGTTGATTAAACTGCTGACCCATGAACTCTCTGGCTTAAAAAATTAAGTTTAATTTAATAGTTCTCTATGTTACAATGACATTACTCACTACATTAGTATATTGTTCAACTTGGCAGAACAAAAACTAGTCCAACACACCATATCCTTCAAATCAGGCTTTAAAAAACAATTTTGGTTCAAAGAAATATGAACTATTAGAGATCCATATTGTTTTGCGCACCAAGGACTTATTTAAAGATTTGAGATGTTGAACAGTTTAGCACTGGTGCAGGATGGGTGGATTGCCACATCAACAAGTTATGGGTTCTTTCTAGTTTAGGTTGTTTGTTTTTTTAACAGTAGCCAAGTAGCAAAATTTCTTAAAGAGCATTGTCAGGGTTCTCAGTTGATGAAAGTGTAGCAGAACTTTAGAGACTGGGGTCAGCTGGAATGTCTGGGCCTCAGTGCTGGTGATTCCTGCAGTCCAGTCTGTTGAATCAAGTACACCTAGTTGAAGAACCTCCAATGCTGCTGTAGTTCTGATTCTTGAGGGGACAGGATGACTTCTAGAGGATCAAGGCTAGGTTCTAGGTCACATTCTGCGGGATCATCCAGATCACGTTCATCTTCCGTGAGATCCAGGTCAAATGTTAGGTCTGACTCCAGAAGTCTGGGCAGTTCCAAAAGTTCTTCGGGGTTGAGGTCTAACAATGGCAGCAAGGCCAAGTCCTCCCAGGTGACCTGTGTTTGTCTTCTTGTAGGAGATCTGCAGCCTTTCCTCTGCTTCTGCTGGGGTTCTTTCTCTTCAAGAACTTTGGTTTTAGTTTAAACCCTAACAATGTTAAATTGGTGGATAGTTTGGAAAACTAGTTCATCATGTATTTTCTGAGTGAAGAGTTATATCACTTCAGCAGTCAAATCCCCCTAAATAGTCATATTCCCCCCCCCCCCCTTCAGATGCAGTGAGACAGTTCATATCCCCTCTCCCCAGCAGTCATATTCCCCCCCCCCCAGCAGACAGTAATATCCCCCCACCCCCCAGCAGACAGTCATATTCCCCCCTCCCCAGCAGACAGTCATATTCCCCCCCCCTCCCCAGCAGACAGTCATATTCCCCCCCCCCCCAGCAGACAGTCATATCCCCCCCCTCCCCAGCAGACAGTCATATTCCCCCCACCAGCAGACAGTCATATTCCCCCACCAGCAGTCATATTCCCCCCCTCCCCAGCAGACAGTCATATTCCCCCCCTCCCCAGCAGACAGTCATATTCCCCCCCCCTCCCCAGCAGACAGTCATATCTCCCCCCTCCCCAGCAGACAGTCATATTCCCCCCCTCCCCAGCAGACAGTCATATTCCCCCCCCTCCCCAGCAGACAGTCATATTCCCCCTCCCCAGCAGACAGTCATATTCCCCCCCCCCTCCCTACCCAGCAGACAGTCATATTCCCCCCACCAGCAGACAGTCATATTCCCCCACCAGCAGTCATATTCCCCCCACCAGCAGACAGTCATATTCCCCCCCTCCCCAGCAGACAGTCATATTCCCCCCACCAGCAGACAGTCATATTCCCCCCACCAGCAGTCATATTCCCCCCCCCTCCCCAGCAGACAGTCATACCCCCACCAGCAGACAGTCATATTCCCCCCCCCCCCACCAGTAAACAGTCTTATCCCCCCCCCCCCCAGCAGACAGAGGAGAGGCTGTGTGTGAGCGTATTTGTGTGTGCCCCAGTGCTGTTGTCTCTTCAACAGACAAATGGTGTCAACATCAACACACTGCTGCAGTCTCTACCAGGCGATGAGTCATCTCTTAGTATTATATCACAAGTGACCTTGCCCTTCATCATAGCGGGTTTTGGAATGGTGGGAGCTGGCATGGTCTTGGACATTGTCCAGGTGAGGGATTCAAAGTCCTGCACTTATCCTTAAGTCCACAGGTCTCTTGCTACTTACTTCTAGAAATCTCCCCTAACAATAACTTCTAGTAATCTCCCCAAACACTACTACTTCTAGTAATCTCCCCAAACACTACCTTCTATTAATCTCCCCAAACACTACCTTCTAGTAAACTCCCCAAAAACTACTACTTCTAGTAATCTCCCCAAACACTACTGCTTCTAGTTATCTCCCCAAACACTACCTCTTCTAGTAATCTCCCCAAACACTACCTCTTCTAGTAATCTCCCCAAACACTACTGCTTCTAGTTATCTCCCCAAACAATAACTTCTAGTAATCTCCCCAAACACTACCTCTTCTAGTAATCTCCCCAAACACTACTAACTTTTAGTAATCTCCCCTAATATTTGCCTTGCTGCAGCACTGGCCAGTGTTTACTGATGTTAAGGAGATCTTCATTTTGGTGCCAGCTTTACTGGGGCTGAAAGGGAACCTGGAGATGACTTTGGCATCACGACTGTCAACACAGGCTAACCTGGGGAACATGGACACCAAGAAGGAACTGCTCAAGATGGTTGGAGGGAACCTTTGTCTTGTCCAGGTAAACATAGAATAGAAACATTGAATACATTTAAAACACAGGATGAATTATTTTTATTTTAAAAATATCTTTTATTTTCTCAGGCTATTGTTGTATTTTTCTCTTGTCCACAGGCGCAGGCTATTGTTGTATTTTACTCTTGTCCCCAGGTTATTGTTGTATTTTTCTCTTGTCCACAGGCGCAGGCTATTGTTGTAGGGTTCTTGTCATCTTTGACAGCCATGGTACTTGGGTGGATCCCCAAGGGTGAATTCAACATCCAGCATGCCTTCCTCTTGTGCGCCAGTAGCATGTTTACAGCGGCTGTGGCTAGTTTTGCTTTAGGTAGGTAATATGTTTACAGTGGCTGTGGCTAGTTTTGCTTTAGGTAAGTAATATGTTTACAGCGGCTGTGGCTAGTTTTGCTTTAGGTAAGTAATATGTTTACAGCGGCTGTGGCTAGTTTTGCTTTAGGTAAGTAGCATGTTTACAGCGGCTGTGGCTAGTTTTGCTTTAGGTAATAAAAACATTTCTAATGAAAGAAGTTGTTTTTATTTAAAATATTTTGTAAATGTATTAACCATTAAGTCTTCCAACAAAACAGGTATTTAAAGGTCTGTAGAGTCTGGTAGTACAATCTGTACAGTCAGACAGTACAGCCAATGTTGTTGTTCTCCACAGGTTCCATCATGGTGATAGTTGTTCTGATATCCAGATTTTTTAAAATCAACCCTGACAATGTTGCCACGCCCATTGCTGCCAGTCTGGGGGATCTGGTGACTCTAGGGATACTCTCCTGGGTGGGGAATCTTTTGTTTGCAGCAATAGGTAGGTCAGCTAGAGGAACATAGGTAGGTCAGCTAGAGGAACATGTAGGTTCTATACAATAATAAAAGTAGCTAAATTAGAATAACATAGGTAGGTCAGCTAGAAGAACATAGGTAGATCAGCTAGAAGAACATAGGTAGATCAGTTAGAAGAACATAGGTAGATCAGCTAGAAGAACATAGGTAGATCAGCTAGAAGAACATAGGTAGATCAGCTAGAAGAACATAGGTAGATCAGCTAGAAGAACATAGGTAGATCAGCTAGAAGAACATAGGTAGATCAGCTAGAAGAACATAGGGTAACTAGAGGAACTTAACTTGTAGGCTCTATACAATAATAAAAGTAGGTCAACTAGAATAACTCAACTAGGTTGGCTAGATTACCAAAAGTAGGTCAGCTAGAATAACTTAGTGACATTTGTGAAATAATTTAAAAAATAACACCAGGTAGCGGATGTTAGTCTCAGCTGTTTTGTTTATTTACTCACCAGAAATTCACAGTCCATTTGTAGTTTTGTTGCATTAAAAAACCCATTCATGAGTACCTTCCCCTTGAATCCGCAGGTAAACAGGTGTGGTTGGCTCCTTGTATCATTGCCTTCTTCCTGTTGTTGCTGCCCCTGTGGGTGGTCATCTCTGTCAAAAACAAGTACACCGATGATGTCATCTACTCAGGGTGGACCCCAGTCTTATCTGCTATGTTGATATCAAGGTACCTGTTGTTTTATTTCTGATGTCATCACTTCTTAGTACCTGCTATGTTGATATCAAGGTAGCTGTCATTTTATTCCTGATGTAATCACTTCTTAGTGCCTGCTATGTTGATATCAAGGTAGCTGTCATTTTATTTCTTATCTAATCTCTTCATTATTCACCTTTCTTTTAAAATACATATTTTGTTTTCTAATTATAAAATGTTTCGCTTAGACTGTCTGATGTTTTATAACTAGTCTGACACACAAACACCTTAACAGAAAAGACATTTGTTGATGTATGAACAGGCTACCAATGTTTGTATCCAAACTTGTAAACTGGTTTATCTATGAACGTTGTGTGTTCTGCTAAATTAAGCTTGTACCTAGATGATAAAACTAAAATAACTGTCCTGTATTTCCCATATTTCAGTATAGGTGGTTTGATATTAGACCACACAGTAGCGGCGTATGATGGCATAGCTGTCTTCCAACCTGTCATCAATGGTAAGCATCAAATCAAATACCAGTTGTGCAGCTGTTTTTATACCACCGCTATTTACAATACCAGTTGTGCAGCTGTTTTTATATCACCACTATTTACAATCTGCTGAATTTGAAACATTTAGACCAAAATAATTTACTTACATTTTTTTTATACTCTTATTGAGTTTGATTTTTTTTTGTTTACTCAAAGTTCCTGTATGTTGAATGATTTTATATATTGGTGCGGCAGACTGAGTATATCTTTAGAATGATTTCAGGTGTTGGGGGCAATTTGGCCGCAGTCCATGCCAGCAGGATAAGTACATCTCTCCACCAGACAGGAAGGCCAGGCGAAAGGCTGAAAGATTCCAAACTACGCGGGTGTCTTAACATATTCAAAGTATATTTTGGTTCAGGTAGGTGTCTTAACATATTTAAAGTATATTTTGGTTCAGGTAGGTGTCTTAACATATTTAAAGTATATTTTGGTTCAGGTAGGTGTCTTAACATATTCAAAGTATATTTTGGTTCAGGTAGGTATTTTAACATATTTAAAGTATATTTTGGTTCAGGTAGGTATTTTAACATATTTATGGTATATTTTGGTTCAGGTAGGTGTCTTAACATATTTAAAGTATATTTTGGTGCAGGTAGGTATTTTAACATATTTATGGTATATTTTGGTTCAGGTAGGTGTTTTAATGTATATAAAGTATCAGATGTTAAATACTTAGAGAATTATAATGGAAAGATTATATCCCAGTAGACTGTCCAATATTAACTGCTTGTAACACACACTGGTCAGTCTAATATTGACTGATCTGAACAGCCACTGAATAAATATGAGCTCTTAAACATGCTGTCCATTTCAAATGCAATAACCCATACACTTTTGGTATCAGTTGTCCATTTCCAATGAAATAACCCATACCACTTTTGGTTTCAGCTGTCCATTTCCCATGAAATAACCCATACACTTTTGCTTTCAGCTGTCCATTTCCCATGAAATAACCCATTCACTTTTGCTTTCAGCTGTCCATTCAAGAGCTGCCAGGGTTCTCACATTGCTGGTCGTCCCTGGACACTTAATTTTTAGCCTCACAATTTTCTACTTGCGTGCTGGCCACACCTCAAGTTCCCTTTTATTTCAGTGTTTTTATTTGACAGCTGCCCTTATGCAGGTAGGTTTATTACTTCTTTTTTAAATTTTCTTCATGTTTCATATAAGGTAACCTAGTGGTTGGGACCTATTCTGTCTCAGGTTAAGTGATCTTACTTTGGCCATGTACATAGATTATACACCTTAAACCAGATTTAAAAAATGATTTGGCTGCTAGTTCTCTGATAAAAAAAATAATATTCTAGATTCTAAATTATTGGCAAATATATTCTGTATATTCTTGAAATAAAGGGTTCTGTCAAGGATATTGTATTGAACATTGATACTATTGTTTAAACCTAATAAGTAACCAACAGGCATATTACAGTTATAGCTGACAAAAATTAAGCTTTTTGTTGGTACGTTTGTTCATTCATCTTGAATGTTGGTAGGTTTCGAGAAATGTTCATTTTATTATCTATATTGTTGAAATGTCCATTTTGTTATCTATATTGTTCTCTTATTGTTTTTACTTTAAAAATGTCCAATTTGTTGTCTGTTGTTTTGACTTTAAAAAATGTCCACTATGTTTTCAGGTGGTCCTGCTGATCTACATTGCCACTTGGTTAGTTCCAGTGATATGGGTCTTAGGTTCTGACCCTGATAATGTTGCTATACCTTACCTGACCGCCCTGGGAGATCTTCTTGGGACAGCTCTCCTGGCTGCTGCCTTCCATCTTCTATTTTTGTTAGGTGATAGGGATGCAGATATCGGAGATTGAAAATCTCAGTATTTATTACTCCTAGCTGTAAATGATATATTTATTTTCTTTCTTCTAAATATGTTATGTATATGGGTACAATAAGTATATATATATATATATATATATATATATATATATATATATATATATATATATATATATATATATATACATATACATACATACATACACATCAAATCCATGCATTATTAAACTATGTTATTGTTATCTTTGTATATCAAATTTCTGACATGAAGCAGTGGATTAAGGGTTAAATATTTTAGGCTTTATTTTTTCTTCATATAGTTAACCTAGTTAACAGATCACTTAAACTTACTGGTTCGTATGTGTGAGAGAACCATTTTGCATAGATTGCCTAAGTAATGACTACAGCAGCTGTTTGTTGTACCTGAAATTAATTAGATCTCACTGACTTGAAACTGTTGCTTCAGTTTGTGTTGTAGTCATCCTGTTGAAATATTGAAACAATAATGTATTTACCCATGGAGACCTGAATCAACAGACTTCCAGTTAGAAATTTTTCTGTACAACTTATAGCCCTATCCTTGAAAATTGTACACTTGTTATAAAATTTCATGAATTTTTGTGGAAAGCTCATTTTTTCAAATGTCTTATTATGTTTTACAAATCATAAAATTACTTACTCTTTACAATATTTTTAGAGACAGCAATTCAATATGGACTTAAGTGCCAGTATGTGTTTATATATAGGAGGAGAATTTTGTGTCTAAATTTCTTACGTATTATAACTTGCTTATTTTTGACCAAGCACCATAGAGTCTGTTAATTTCTTACGTATTATAACTTGCTTATTTTTGACCAAGTACCATAGAGTCTGTTGAGATCAGGGATATTTCAATACTGATACATGCTTTGTAAATATTTACCAAATCAAGTAATTACTTTTGTTATTTTTCCTAGAATTGATGAAACATATTTTTACTTAAATTGGTGAAATTATATATTTTTTTTTAAGATTGATGAAATTATTGGTTTTTTTTAGGGTTGATGAAATTAAAGATTTTTTTTTAGGGTTCAATGAAATTATTGTTTTTTTTTAGGGTTGTTGAAATTATAGGTTTTTTTAAGATTGATGAAATTATAGATTTTTTTATGATTGATGAAATTATTGGGCTTTTTTAGGGTTGATGAAATAATAGATTTTTTTTCAGATTGGTAAAACTAACTTTTTTTTTAGTATTGATGAAATCAAAAACCTAACTTTCTTTACTCAGTAATTTGTTGAAATTTTTACCTATGTTTCTATTTAAACATTTACCAACCTTTCTTAAAAAAAACTGAGTTCTAAATCACTCTACTGACAAGTTACTATGTATAGAAATTGAGAATCTTGTTGTTATTTTGCTAAACTACATGCTTAATGTGTTGCTGTAAGTAATTAGTAGGTGAATTTACCAAATATAATTAGTACTTGAATTAATCACATAATTAGGAGTTGAATTTATAAACTGTAATGTGTAGTGACTTTGCCATAAACACCAGTATAGAAATAACTTCCTGAATCAAGTTTCATGTATCACGTATTCTTGAAATTTATGACATTAATAAGAAATATTTTATTTAAATCCCTTCTTGTACCAAAGGTTTTATATAGTTGACTATGCTCTTATAAAGAACCCTGTACTTGTAGTGAATTAAAAATGCTCATCAATTTCAGCCTTATTTATCTAACTTAACATTGGTTTTTTTTAATTTAACTTTTTTGGTGTTAAAAATTTTGTTTGTTTTTTTTTTTTTTTTTTTTGGTATAAATGACAATATGACAGGCAACAGCCAAGCAGACACTAACTTAAATTTTGGAATTTTGTTTTAAAAACCGTTCATGGTTTTTTTAGTTTTGACATTTACAACTGATGTAAGAATATTGCTTAATTTTTTGTCATTGTTCATGCTGTCTTTCTACCATTTAGAGTTTTTTTAAAAGTTGTAGTTGAATGTTTGCCACTTTAAAAAGTTGTAGTTGAATGTTTGCCACTGTTTGCCTTGTACAGTTCAACTGTTGATACTGTGATAACAGTTTATAGCAATGCTAAGTGAATATGCCCAGCTGGTTACCATGCTAGTCATGTCTCACACTATAACGGTACCCGGCATTCACCATTTCATGTAAATAAATCAGTTTATCTTACTAGCACTGTTTGGTCCTGGTTGAACTATGACCTCCATGGTTGTGAAGACAGGTGTGTCATTTGTGAGAATATGTTAATGAGGTCAGTGCCAGTCTGTTTTAATTGATTTCTTTTTTTTTATGTTTTAATCTGGCGCCAAAGTTTTTAATCTCCTGTGTTGAAGAGTTAGGAAATCACTTAAAATATTTTCTAGTTTCTATTTCAGTGTTTTGTACCTATAGAAGGTTTGTTTGTTGGAGCTAGCTGCATGTTCAACTACCTTCACAAGTTATCTTTCCATGTAGTGGTAATTTTTCTCTTATTTTTAAAGAATCTTTCTTTGGCTTTATTTGACTAGCATTTATACCTGGCAGACCTACAGAGCTAATGTGCTTTTAGGCCTAGACCTAAACATTAGAAAGAGAACTAAGCTTTAAAAAAACATGTTTTTATTTTTAAAAAAGTATATCCTAAATGTAAAAATAATTCTCATTATTAACCTATCTCTATAGAAATGTAAGTTTTAGAAACATATCCATCTAGAACTTCATAATTTAAAATGTGCAATATTTATGCTCTGCCTATCCATATAAATCATTACCAATCATAAATCACCACAACAGTAATTATTCACTTTGAATTTTGTAAGTACCTCATTAAATATCTTGTATATCAAAATCAATGAGGTCAAATCAACTTTAATATTAAATGTTCATAAGGTATAGATACATTATTTTTGTGTGTGTTTAGCAAGAAAAATAATGCAGTATGGTTATCAAAAATTGAGGTTGTGTTCTACTGCAACTAATGCATTAAAATATCTGCTTTTAGTATGATAAGGGTTGATTGAAATGGTTATTACTGACTTGCAAAAGACAACTTAAAAAGTCTTTTTTATTTATCTGTTCAAAATGTTGCAAATTTACTTATTTACAAACATCAGTATGTATTCTTAGATGCAACAGTTGACAAATTTCGCAAAAGATGGCTAGACAAACATTGTTATCATGGGATGATATGACAACCACTGTGGCAATAGCTTATGGAATTTTAAGGAAATTTTATAATTTTTCTGCATTTATACATTTTTATAGTTTCATTTTCTTTTTTTGTTATTAGAATTAAATATAATTTTTTCCTAGTTTTAACTTAAAAATGTGTTTAGTTCTATTATGTTATTGTGTAACATTTTTGCTTCAGACATATACCTGTGTGGTAAACTACCTTGGTTATAACTTATATATTGTGGTGCCACATATACACTAACAATAAGTTTTCTTGCTCTCCTTTTTGACACATACATATGTTGTTTGGCTTTGATCGCTAGTTTGTGTGACCATTTTTAACTATCACCTTAACTTGAGTGTGCTACCTGTGTGACTGTTTTGTTCCATGAGGAGTGTTATATTTTTTCTCAATTGTAGTACTTAATATGGTTTTAGGTTTATTTAATTTTTATTAAGATATGATTTCATCATGTAAATCGTAGGTAGGTTTAAGTTATAAATAAGTGTTTTATGTTTTAACTGCGTATGTCAAAAAGCTTTAACAAGCTTAAGCCTGGGGTTACGCAGGGTCTTAGAAGATAATTATGTTATTATTATTATATCACCATATGTATGGGCTGTATCCTATGTAATAGGATACTTCACCATATGTATGGGCTATAGCCTATGTAATGGGATACTTCACCATATGTATGGGCTATAGCCTATGTAATGGGATACTTCACCATATGTATGGGCTATAGCCTATGTAATGGGATACTTCACCATATATATGGGCTATAGCCTATGTAGTGGGATACTTCACCATATGTATGGGCTATAGCCTATGTAATGGGATACTTCACCATATGTATGGGCTATAGCCTATGTAATGGGATACTTCACCATATGTATGGGCTATAGCCTATGTAATGGGATACTTCACCATATGTATGGGCTATAGCCTATGTAATGGGATACTTCACAATTTTATGGGCTGTTTCCAAGTAGTCAAAGACAGAAGCACAATGAAAGCTAAGATGTTTAATAATGACTGAACTATCAGAAACTTATGTATTCCTATAGTAGTAGTTGTGCCCTATGATGTACAATCAGTGCAGTTTGTGCTGTTTGTCGTGAATCATCTCTTGACTTTTGACCACATATTTTAAGTTTCTGGTTCATGTAGCTGATGCCCATCTGCTTGTATGTTATGGTTCTAGTATTCAGTTCTACAGTGTTACCTCCTGTTGGCTTGGATCTATACTTATCTCTTGTTGGCTTGGATCTATACTTATATCTTGTTGGTTTATAGTTTTCAACTGGTACTTATCTGTATAACTTTGAGGGTGTTACCAGCTCAGTTACCAGGGTTGTTACCAGCTCAGTTACCTGGGTTGTTACCAGCTCAGTTACCAGGGTTGTTACCAGCTCAGTTACCTGGGTTGTTACCAGCTCAGTTACCTGGGTTGTTACCAGCTCAGTTACCAGGGTTGTTACCAGCTCAGTTACCTGGGTTGTTACCAGCTCAGTTACCTGGGTTGTTACCAGCTCAGTTACCAGGGTTGTTACCAGCTCAGTTACCTGGGTTGTTACCAGCTCAGTTACCTGGGTTGCAGGTAGTAGCATTAACACTGGTTACAAACAGGGTTTTCTATTGTGTAATCCAAGTTGATTCAATTGTCTTCATATTATTTTAAATGTCACCTCACTATTCCAGTTCATGAGATCAGCATTCGTGTTAAACCAGTTTTGAGGCAGTTGTTTTGTTCATGTTAGTTTCACATCCAGCTGAACCTAGTGGCTTGAATCTTTGTGCCAGTTTAAACAAATGTTACAAGTCAAACACAACTTTTAACTCTGCATAACACTAATAGTAGCTGAATCACATTTTACAAAACATGATGCCAAATACTTTTAACCGTGTTTTTTTTTTATTCTGGCAATGGAAGACTTGTAATCATGT